AAATACCATATTAAATACTAAAATATTAAACATTAAATACCATTTTTTTTATTTTGATACGATAATTCAGTATTTACATATTATGCATAGCCCTAAAAGTAATATGTAACCTTTCATATCAAGTTGATACTATAATCTAGAGAATAGAGTGAAAATCAATAAAATTTAATGTAAACATTCTTTGTGTTATCACTACATATAACTTAGATATTTTTTAATATTCTAATGAGTGGATAGGATAACAAATATAATATTTTCTTTAACACCACTTCTCCTATTTACGGAAAATTAATGGGATTTGGTAATTATAATTCATAAATCATAAATCTCCAAATATGAAAACAAAATCTTGTCATTATCTAAGGTAAAAATATAAAAGGGTAACTATAAGAACATAAAAAGTAAACTGAGGACATTTTGGGCATTTCAATACAATTAACAAATACTAGGTGTAGAGTCCAGACAAAAGGCAATTACTATATCAGTTGTTTTTTCTTCACTTTTATTTTCTTCATTGACCCCATTAATGGAGGGAACCTCAACTTTACAAACTCCAAAAAACACCAAACAAAATTTTATTTCTGAAAATCAGAACTAAATAGTACTAGTAATAATCTCCAAAACCCATTTTCCCTTCTGGCGCCATTTGTTTACCAACCCTTATTTCAAACCAAACCTTTATTTTTTTTAATTTAATCTCTATTTAAAGTTACATTCTTGATTTTTCTTTTCCCCATAGTACTGTCTTTTTTTTCCCTAGTTTTGGGGTGAAAAAAATGATGGAAATGGAAGATAAAGAGAGTACAGAATCTGGTTCACTCGGTGTTAACTCAGAATATGACTCACCACCACCACCACCACACCCCCAACCACCACCAGTAACAGCAGTAGCAGCAGCCAATGGGAGTTTGACAAGTGGCAGTGGTAGTGGGGTTGTGCCACCACAAATGCTGAATATGAACATGAACATGAACATGAGTATGACAACAACTGAGGGGGCAGTAGGGGTGGTGGTGGTGGGTAGTGGGGGTGGTGGCGTAGTAGGAAGTGGTGGGGAGAAAAAGAAGAGAGGGAGACCAAGAAAGTATGATGCAGAAGGGAACTTAACACCTCAATATATAAAAGCTGCAGCAGCAGCAGCTGCAGCTAAAGCAGCAGTGGCGGCGGCGGCAGTGACGTCACCTGGTGGTGGTGGTGGTGGAGGTGGAGGTGGAGTGACACCACCGTCAGGTTTTACTATAACGTCACCGCCTTCTTCTGCTTTTTCTTCTTCTTCCTCTAAAAGAGGACGTGGCAGACCTTCTGGTTCTTCTGGTAACTTGCAATTAATTGCTTCTTTGGGTAAGTCTGTTAAGAGATTTTTCTCAAAGATCTGTTAATTCTTAAAAAAAAAAAAAAATTAATCTTAATATGTTTGTTGATTTAAAGGTACAAAACCCTAGAATGGTCTTTTTTATTTTTATTTTCCGAGTAAATCGAAAATAGTCTCTCTACCTTCTCAGCACACGCTACTGTTTGTGTACACATTAACTTCCCTAGACCCTACCTTTTTCCCGGGTTAGTGGTGAGGTTAGTATACACACTACCCTCAACAAACCCCACGTGTGTGACCTCACTTGGGTTGTCGTTGAATAAATCGGAAACAACCTGAAATGAGGCAGGCAAAAAATCCAAGATTTGGTTTTGTTAGCTTTAGTTTGTTTTACCTAATGATTTTTCTGACGTAAGAGTGATATGTGCTTTTTGGTGTTTGAAGGTGAGCTGTTTGCACATACAGCTGGAGGGGATTTTATGCCACATGTGGTTACTGTGCATACTGGAGAGGTAATTTCTTCTTTTTCTTTTTCATTTCATGATGTAATGAAATGAAATACTAGGATTTCCTTTTCAGATCTGAAATGTTTTGTGTTATGTACTGGTTTTAGGATGTGGCAGGAAAGGTTTATTCTTTTGTGCAGAAGGGTTCAAGAGGGATCTGTGTTCTGTCTGCAAATGGGGCTGTTTCTAATGTTACAATTCGTCAGCCTGGTTCTTCTGGTGGTCTTTTGACTTATGAGGCAATGATCTATTCTTAGTTTCATTCTTTCTCCTAATCTTTTAGTACTTTGTATCTTTTTTAAGATTGTGTTAGCTAATAGCTTTTACTGATTTTTAGTTTTCTAGAAGCTTCTGTTATTGTTGTTGTCCTGCCTCAACCACCCCCACCTGAAAAAAGAAAAGAAATAAACAATAAGGAATGTCTCAAGAATCAAGTTCTAAAGAATTAAAAGATGCTTTCTCTGCGGAAATATAGTTTCTTTTTTATTTTATTTGATAAAGTATATATTCTGCGAAAATGTAGTTATAGCTGGTGAAGGGTAGTTGGTGGCTGCCTCCAGGACTTTGGTTCAGTAGTAAGAGCACCTGAGTGATGTGTTAGGTACACGCGCGAGTTAGAACCATGCCCTAGTCAGCCTCGGGGATTTCTCGGGTATTAAAAGCAAGTTGTTTGTGACTTAACTTTATTTGGTCTTGAAAATTTGTATCACCATTTATAGGAAATTGACTAAATCAATCCCTCAATGTACTTGGTGACCTTGATTAGTTTCGCCTTTACATGTGTGTATCTGTGATCTACACCATAAGTTAGGACTAAAACACTTCATAGGAGAGTGGTATATATTGTCTGAATCAATGTATCAAGGAAACTTTGGCTACAGCCTGAATGCCATATTGCTTTTACATGGTTGAACTTCAAAAGTAGCGAAGCGTCGTAAGGGGCTCTAGTGTTTATTCATCAAAGCACAATAATTTCAAGGACCAAAGGTATATCCAGTAATAGGAAATTCAAGTCTGCTATTGCATGAGCTTCCCATCTTTAACTGATTGCCGTAACTTCTCTTCTGTGTTCTAGTAATTTCCTTCAAATGGGGTTCCCGGATTTACTTTCTGTATTGCAGCTCTCGATATTTAGGCTGTTTCTATGCTCATTCTAAAGGGCTTTGCTTCTGTTACAGTACAAAGCATGAATCAGTGTCCACCATTCTGGAGAAATCATGTTTCTCCTTCTGCCTAATGTTTTGTTTCCTTGTGTTTGATAATTGTGTTCAAGTGCTGTTCTTATTTTAAAACAACAGTTCTGAGTTTGACCCATCCTCCCAAAATTCAAATTTAAATGATTAGACAAAGATCCACATAAATTGTTGATAGCAGCCAAACTTAAGCTCAGATTGGCATCATTTAATGTATGGAAGGCGAGGATCAAATAGAGTTGACACTACAGGCCTGAATGAAAATGGTTGTCGGATCGCAGATGTCCTGTCGTCGTCTCACTTGGATTAATTTATGCTCCCTAATTCTTTTCAGTTTACATGCCTGTTCTCTTCAGCAAGAAAGTGTTTTTGCAGTCTAGAAAGGAAAAGCAGTTCTAGGTTTTCCCATGAATGACTAACCTAATACGCTTGCTGATGTAATTATATAGCCATTGAATTTCATTGCATCGTTTTGCTACCTCAGCTCTCATGTGCTTTTTGTTTAAGAGTTGTTATGTCTTCTATGAGAAAACAGGAGTTATTGCCTTTTATATCCTGGAAAATTCATATTTAGTTACTCTGACGATGCAGGGGCGCTTTGAGATCTTAGCGTTAACTGGATCTTACACTGTTTCTGAAAATGGTGGCATGAAAAGTAGGTCCGGTGGATTAAGTGTTTCGTTGGCTGGCCCAGATGGCCGTGTTATTGGTGGTGGTATTGCTGGTTCACTTATCGCTGCAAGCCCCATCCAAGTAAGTACTGTTATGTTATTATATACGGAGTAATAATTATAGGCCAATTATCTTTTCTGTTAAATTTTCTGATTTACGTGTCCACAGCCAACATCGATAGCATACTCTTTATTGATACCATTTCTTCTTATGTCGCTAGATGGTGGTCGGAAGTTTCATGCCAAATGCTTTTATAAAACACAATAAAAGGAAGCATCATCAAGTCGAACCAAGAATGGCTCCTGTTATCCACAGCTCTCCGGACCCTGTTTCAATGGTAAGACCTGTATCACATGCACCACTTGTGAACAACATGACTCTGACTCAGGCACCTCAAATACCAATGCAAAACCACGGAGAGGTTGATAACAGCACGAGCAACAAAGATATGCCAAATTCCACATCTACCGACACTTCTGACTGTAATGGATCGGAGCCAACTTTTGATCAGAGACCATATCCTGATATTAACCTGTCTATACCTATGGAGTAGCTTGTTAAGTCGGGAAACCAAACTCGACAATAGTTTCTTTTCCATTTAGCTGATTCCCTGTTTTCCTGACTTCTGATTGTAACTTGAGGAATCATTTTAGGACTGCCTTAGAAACTTTGAAGTATGCTGACATGACTAGAAGAGGGCTAATATATCTTTTGTTTTCTGGTTGTTGTAATGTCTATACAGATCTTTGTTCTTTTCTTTTTGAAGGATTTTACCTAGGAACAGATGCTATATAGTTGCATTAATGTCAGTCGGAAGTTCAAGAACACTCACTTATTCTTATATTGATATCATGTTTTTGTGCCCAGTTAGTTGTGAAAGGCTTAATGCGGTGTCTCTCTGAGGCTGTATTGTCTTTCGGAAACAGCTTCTCTACCACCACAAGATAGGGGTAAGGTCTGCATGCATACTAAACACTCCAAACCCCACCGCACTAATGTCAGTGGGAAGTCCAAGGAGACTCACTTATTCGGAATCTATTTTTATGTTCTGCTATATATGCCATTTATAGTAGCACTTCACTGTAACATCCAAAATATCGGAATAAATGCAGCTGTTATAGAGAAGTTTGGGTGTAGTTATAAACTGTAAAGACATTTATATTGCATAGGAACTGCAAGGTTTATCAGGGAACCATTCCACACATATTGTAGTAAACAGTAGTAGATCATTGACATTGTGACAATAGGTTGTACTTGAAACATTAAGTAAAACATAGTTATATAAGTTTTAGCCCATAGCTAGTAAAATCTCAATGACTAAACTTCAGGAGCTTCCTCTTTTATGGCAAAACGTTGAACAATCTTAGCATAGTAATCCCAATCAGTATGAGAAGCTGTTATTGCAGGTTGTCCAAAGGGATGTTCTTTCACGTAGGTTGGAACATCATCTGCATCTGCTAGCCCATCCAGAAACTTCCGTAGATCGCCGTTAGGACCTATTCAATATGTGTAAAATATAAATCAATCACTTCTAAGCGACTTGACAGTGTATAAAAGTTAAACTCAATCCGTCAATATGAAGGACTAGTAAAATATATTACCAAGTAACGTGTCTTTGCCTTTTCCAACTTTGAAAACAGGAGGAAAAACCACTGTATTAGGCTTGCAAATCAAACAAGAACTATCATAAGTTAGTCTTCTTATAAAGAGATTTCTTATGTCTATAGCCAATCTTGTACTCTTGTTTTCAATGAAATGCAAAACGTACAGGGTTAAGTAGAGCTACGTGGGGTTCATCATCAATCAAAAGTGTGTTGGATTCTGAAAATTTTCCACCACGAAAAGGAAGGATATGATACTTGTTTTCCCATATTTTCTTCATTTGTTTCAAGAATATGGGCTTCTCCTTCTTCTCCAAACACTTAAAGCCACTGTCAATGCATTTTTCTTGATCCTACAAAACAAATGAAATTTCAAAAGATTTATAGTAGCCTGGTGCATGAAACATCCCGCATTTACACAAGATACGGGGAAGGGCCGCACCCCAAGGGAGTGTGATGTAAGCAACCTATTCTGATGCAAGCATCGATGGCTAATTCTATGGCTCGAACACATAAGTTATAGGTCACATGGAGACAACTTTACCGTTGCTCCAAGGCTTCTTTCTCAAGTTTAACCTAAAAGGGTAGCTTGGTGCACGAAACATCCCGCGCTTACACAGGATACCTAGGAGGGCCGCCCCTTAAGGGAGGCTGATGTAAGCAGCCTATTCTGATGCAAACATCAGTGGCTGATTTTATGGCTCGAACCCGTGACTTATAGGTCACAATGGAACAACTTTAAAGTTGCTGCAATACTTCCATTCTTTCCCAAATTTAACCTCAATAAACAAAATGAGTTCTAATTAGCTAGATTAATTTGAAAGCCACATAACCATACAAGTAACAACTTTCGTCGAAGTCCAACCATGATGTTGTCTAGAATAGCATCCATGTTTCTCCTATATTATAAGGACAAAAGCAAAGCTATAGTAACAATAATTTCAAGAAATAATTATTAACATACTAGGTTTAAAACATTTTAATTGAAATACTAACTCCATTGCAGATGACCATAGTCCGACTTCAAATCTTTCGAGGCAAAACTTCATAAATTGATCACAGAAAGGTCTCTTGAAAACTGCTTTTAACAAGGCATCACAACATAAGTTAAACAAAAACAAAAAAAATCATTACAATTAACCAAACATCAATGAAGCATTTTTTACACACACACATTTGCGCGCGCACACATATACACACACTCAAACCTGAGAAATTTCCACAAACTAAGTCCGGTTTGTAGCTTTCAACAGTGAACCAGTCGCGACGATGCACTCTATGAACCAGCAGCCCTCCAAGATTAAGCACAAGGAGTTTCTTTTTTGGACCAAGGTTCAGTTTATCTAAGGGAAGATCTAACTCTTTTCCAATGTCCTTTGTTTCATTTTCATTATCACTATTATCATTACCAGAAGCCAAGTTCTTCAACTTCAGATTTGAAAGCTTTCTTGCCATAGTTGGATTTTAAAGAAGGTTTAGTGATAATACTACTTTGATACAGTTTTTAGAAAAAATGGTGGATTATATATATAGGGTGGGATTCAAGATTTATTAATGGTGAAAAAACCTTTCAAATACTTGTAATTAAACTATATATGGAGTCTTTCCAATTTCCAAGGATCATGCATGCTCAAAATTCTAGAGGATAGAATCTGTTCAGTTATTCTAAATTCAATAGGATATCTGTTCAGTATATTACTTGCGTAACAGTCTGAAAATGGAAGTGATCTAATATAGATTAGTGTACAACTTATTAATACTGTTTATGCATATTAAGTCTTTTCAGTAAAATTTATAGAGTTACAGACTTTCATTTTCAGTAATCTTAAGCGCTAGAAATTAAAAGTCTGCACTCCATAACAAATCTTGGTTTGGTTATATTAGATTATGAGTATTATCTCAAGATTATATACTTTATCATATGCTAAGCTGTCACGATCCGGATTTCCCATCCTCGGGAGTCGTGATGGCGCCTACTAGTGAAAGCTAGGCAAGCCGACAATTACAGATTTTATTATCCTTTTTCCTTATCTTTTAACAATTTCACAAGTTAACATATGATCAACAGTGGAATAAAAAGTGCGAAAGACGAAATTCAACAATTTAACTTAATACAAATACGGTTCCATAAAGTAATCCACCGAGAACTGGTGTTACAATCTCACGGACTATCTAAGGATACTACAAATAGGGTCTGAACGAAGAAAAAAAATACATGTCAGTCTCTGAAATAAGTAAGAACAGAAGGAAATAGGATAGAAGGGGACGCCAAGGCCTGCGGACGTCTGCAGGACTACCTCGGGTCTCCGCTGGACTGAAGGCAGCAACCTCACTGTGGTCCAAATGCTCCAGCACCGGGATCTGCACATAGTGCAAAGTGTAGTATCAGCACAAACGACCCCATGTGCTGGTAAGTGTCGAGCCTAACCTCGGCGAAGTAGTGACGAGGCTAGGACAAGACTACCAAATAAACCCGTGCAGTTAAATTATATACGGCAAATAATGATAACAGGAACTAGCAGTTAAAGATGGGAAGGGGGAACATGCTGCGGGGAATATCAAGTACTAATAGAATTTCAGTAGGAAGCATAAAGAACACCATAATTTCATATCAGCAAGAATAAGAAAAACAGTAACAAGTGCACGGCATCACCCTTCGTGCTTTTACTCTCGTTCTCACCATAAGAACTAATATTCACTCTTATTCTTTCTTGTTGCGGTGTGCAACCCGATCCTTATCATATAATACTGTTGCGGCGTGCAACCCGATCCCAATCATATAATACTGTTGCGGCATGCAACCCGATCTCAATATACAAATCAACACCAATCACATAAGAATCCCGGCAAGGGAACAATAGTATAACAATAATATCCCGGGAAGGGAAAACAATATCATAAGCAGAAACATCCCGGCAAGGGGAACAATATCATAAACAATAACATCCCGGCAAGGGAATCAACAATATATCTCTTCTCGTTTCCACAATCACTTCACAACATAAGTCACAACTTGAGCCAATGCTCAACAATTGTCAATTACCAAGAATATTTTCATAAGCCTTGTTCAAAATTTATAATAATCATATTAAGCATGGACAATACATAACGGAGTCACAATAATCATAGTATAAGACTCACGGGCATGCTTGACACCAACGTATAGATACTCATCACCACACCTATACGTCGTACTCAACACTTAACACATAGCAAATAAGACCATAACTCCTATTCCCTCAAGCTAAGGTTAGACCAAACACTTTCCTCAATGCCACGAACACAATCAAGCCTCAACTACCGCTTTACCTCTCGATTTCACTTCCAATTCGTTTGTATCCAGTCACACGTTACTTAATAACATTAATAAATGCTAAATAAACCAATTCTAATGCATGAAAATAGGTTTCTCAATGTTTTTCCCAAAAAGTCAAAACCCGACCCCGGGCCCACTTGGTCAAAACCCGAAGTTCAGACCAAAACCTGAACACCCATTCACCCACGAACTCAAATATATAATTTATTTTGAAATCGGACCTCAAATCGAGGTCCAAATTCCCAAAATTTGAAAATCCTAAGTTCTACCCAAAATCACCCAATTTCCCATTAAAAACCCTTGATTTTGAAATGAAATCATGTAAAAAGATGGATTAGATTGAAAGAAATGAGTTAGAAATGACTTACTAATGATTTGGAGAAGAACCTTTCTTTGGAAAATCGCCCAAGAGAGCTTAGGGTTTGAGAGAGTTTGAAAAATGAAAAAAATTTCGTCTAAGTTAGAATTTACACAGGTGCAGTTATCGCATTTGCGATGTCAGGTTCGCAAATGTGAACTCGCAAATGCGGCCCAGGCTTCGCAAATGCGAAGGTAGGCCTGCCCTGTTAACTTCGCAAATGCGAACGTTTGTTCGCAATTACGATTACTGCTCTTGTCGCATTTGGGACTCTGAACTTCGCAAATGCGAAGGTCCCCCTTCTAGCCCAGTCTTCGCAAATGCGATGGATGTTCGCAAATGCGAGCTCGCATTTGCGAGCCAGGCTTCGCAATTGCGAAGTCTGCAGACCTGCAACACACCAGCAGTTTTTCCTAAGTTCAAAACACTCCGCGGCCTATCCAAAACTCACCCGAGCCCTCGAGGCTCCAAACCAAACATGCACGCAACAAAAACATCATACGGACTTGCTCGTGCGATCAAATCATCAAAATAACATCAACGACTATGAATTCAACCTCAAATTCATGAAATTACTCAAGAACATTGAAATTTTCATTTTCTCAACTAAAGGCCCGATTTATACCAAACGAACTCCGATTCTTACCAAATTTCACAGATTCAACTTAATTATTATTTTAAACCTGTACCGGGCTCCGGAAACAAAATACGGGCCCGATACCATCAAATTCAAACATCTTTAAATTTTCGTAATATCTTATATTTTCAGTTAAACAATTCTTTCAAAAATTTATTTCTTGGGCTTGGGACTTCGGAATTCAATTCCAGGCAAAATGCAAGTCCCATTTTTTTCTACGGACCGTCCGGGACGGTCAAATCACGGGTCCGGGTCCGTTTACCCAAAATGTTGACCGAAGTCAACTTAAATTCTATTTTGAAAGGCAAAATTAGCATTCTCCTCAAATTTTTCACATAAAAGCTTTCCGGATATACGCCCGGACTGTGCACACAAATCGAGGTGAGACAAAAGGAGGTTTTTAAGGCTTCGGAACACAGAATTGACTTCAAAACGAGTGATGACCTTTTGAGTCATCACATAAGCAAAACATGTTCAAATCATTATAGGACCATTAGTCTAGCCACGGGCAGAGACGGATTCATGATTTAAACTCTATGAGTTCAATCTTTACGTTATTAGCATTGAATCCATTGTAATTTTTAAAGTTATGGGTTCATATCAACTATTTGTACCAATTTTAATAAATTTTTACACATAAATTTATGCTTCGTATTTAAAATACTAGGTTCAAATGAACATGACAACAGTATATTGCATCCACCTCTAGTCACAGGTTGAAGAAAAAATACATCAACATCATCATCAACAACAACAAACCAGTAATCTCACAAGTGGGGTCTGAAGAAGATAGTGTGTACATAGACCTTACCCCTACCCTAGGAAGTAAAAAGACTGTTTTTGATAGACCTTCGGCATAAGATGAAATGAGACAATAGAACACTAACAACAACATAATACATACACATCAAAAAGGTAAAATGGATTTAGTTCAAATAGATACATAAAAGGCTTACAACTTGCAAAAACACAAGACTACACACACCATTACATAAAAAAGTACTACTCCTAAGAAAGGATTTACATAGTTAAGAAAAAACCAGAAAGGATTTACATAGTTAAGCAAAAAACCAGAAAGGATTTACATAGTTAAGCAAAAAACCAGTAACCTAATCATATCAGTCAGAATCATAATCAGAGTAATTAGAGCCAGAAGCTTCCTCTGCGCGAATTGTCTTAGCATAGTAATCCCAATTAGGGTGAGAAGCTGTTATCGCAGGTTGTCCAAAGGGATGTTCTTTCACGTATGTTGGAACATCATCTGCATCTGCTACACCATCCAAAAACTCTTGCATTTCCTCCTTAGGACCTATATATTCAACACCCACAAAAATAAATTATCAAGAGTTAGTTACATACATCAACATATAAATTCTTCACTCAGCATTTAATTTATATACACCAACAATTGACACTGCGAAGAGATTTCCACTATAGCCAGGGGCGGAGCCAGTGTACATATTACAGGTTACAGGTTCGGCCATACCCAATAATTTTGGTCCAAACCCTGTATTTGTCTCAAGAAATCTATTGAATGTGAAAAATTCTTAATTTAGAACTTTGTTACTTAAATAAAAGAACTACAATTTGGAACTCAATAACTTCAAATTCTGGCTCCGCCTCTAACTATAAATATAATTTAACCTATAGCAGCAAATTGCTTGTCATAGTTTACAGGTAACTAATTCCAGCAGATTACTTGTCATAGTTTTCAGGTTACTAATTCTACTTATCATTGGTTGTTATATGTACAGTCAAACCTCTTTATAACAGTCTCGTTTGTTCCGAATATATTTTGGCTGCTATAGTGAGTGCGGTTATAGAAGACATATATTATAACATAACATAAAAATCTATTCCATGGAAAACTTAGCTTTTATAGTGAATGACTATTATATAGGGATTCTGTTATATAGAGATCCGACTGTAGTTATATATTATTTGGTCTAATAATAAAATAATTCTTGACATAAGTGTATATAGAATTAAGTTAAACTCCAGTCAGTGATTAAAGGAGTAGTCGAATATATTTGTTACCAAGAAATGTGTCTCTGCCATCTCTAACTTTGTAAGCATGAGGAAAAATTGCTGTATTAGGCTGCAAATGAAACAAGAACTAACAATTAGTCTTACAATCGAAATAG